CCAATCGATACAAATTCTTCCTCTCAAAAGGCTTCCCCATTCATCTCGTTAACGATATTCATAAGCCGACACAACAATCCATGCAATTCGCAGATCAAATGAAACTCAAAGCGCCTTTGAAACCCATCGATCCGTGCTACACATCCAAGATACACATCGAGGTTCGATCCTCTTTGTTACCCAAGACTGCAGACAATCGCTTGTACAAGCAACATAAAACTGCTGGAAAAAGATAAATATCTTTTTAGAATATCGGGAAAAATGTCGAAACAATACAGAGCTACTTATTCGAAAGTATCAGTGTAACCAATATCCAAGACTACGACGTGTGGAAAAAATGTGTGAGCAAACTTGCGAGAGAAGGAGACACGTACTTGTTCGAATATCGGTATACAACTATATTTATAAAACTACGTCATCAAAGAAATGAGAGTAATACAGCTACGAGAGAAGATATATATATATATATCTGGAATATTGGTATAAACCGCGTCCAAGAGACTACGTCACTACGAAACAATGCGAGAGCAATGCAGAACCCGCAACAGATATACACTTGTTGGAATATCTATATGACGTGTTCAAAATTACAAAAAGTATGATAGCTACGAGAAAAGATGTATATACTATGTTGGAAATATATATATATTTATAGCCAATATATTTGAAGCCATCGAAAGAGTGATAGCACTACGAGAAAAGATGGTAAGAAGTTAATTTGGAAAAAAAAAACGCCTATATTTGTCACGTATACTAATTCAAAACGATTTGAATCTAAAACCTCGATAAATTATAGCATAAGTAATAGATTCCAGAGAGTTTCAATCGATATAATTATATATTAAATATATTAAATATAGTTTCGAAAATATTTCACGTAACTTTGTAAATGAAAATAATTTTTACGATTTTGAATATTCATATTAATAGCTCTTCTATTACTAAGTGTAACCGTCTGGTGTCGAGATCGTCAACAAAGTGTCAACAAAGTGGGGATAGGAGCGTACTCCTCTTGCCCCTGTGCCGTCCCGCGAGACTTCTTTCCACCAGTAAACAGTGCACACTTGTCGCGTAGTATCGGTATAACCATGTTCGAGTCCACGTCACCGAAAAAATATACGAGAAAACCGCGAGAGGAACTGCATATTTGTTGAAATAATGCATAACCGTGGGTTCAACACTACGTGGTAATGGGGAGGGGGGAGGGGAAGAAAGAAAAAACGCGATAGTGAAACGCTATAGAAGCTACTTGTTGGAATATCGATATAACCGTGTCCAAGAAGACTACGCTTCATCGAAAGAGTGTGCGTGGTGGGGAGAGGAGAGGAGAGGGGAGAAAAGATACGAGAAACAGGACTCTGTCGGGGTATCGGTGCCGGTGTCACGAGTCTCCGGTAATGGAATGCGCGTTTCTCGCGTTAAGGGAGAACGTCCATCGAGAGAATTGGAGAAGAGAGAGCGAGCGTGTGTAGACATTGTGCTTGTGCGCGTGTATATCCGTGTGTGTCTTTCGAGTGGCATTAATAGGTCTTTGTTTCGTTCGAGGAGCAGCTGGAGGATACCCCCACCGGCACGTCGTCACCCGTGCGAGTCTATTATTCGAATGTGGAGCAGATATCGGTTGTCGATACGCCGCACCTATAGCTCTAAATATTCGATCGATTTCTCTCCCCCTCTCCTCCTTCCCCGCTATCCCCGCTTCACGATCCTTCTCATCCTCTTTCGCGATCTGGCCAACCTCCGTATTCTTCTTATTCGTGTGCGCTTTCGAGCGTGTGCCACGTCTTTCGACTCTCGGCCAATTCCTCCTCACTTGTTATCGCCGATTCTCGACTACTGTGAATGGTAATAAACGAAGTTGCACACGATCGATGTAGGATTGACCGTTGGAGTGGATTTTCACCGATTTTAACGCGAGGATGGTGGAAGATAGATCGAAGGGATTGTAATTGGAATGTCACAAATCATCTATTAATTAATTTTCTTTTTTACGTACATATCTTTATGCTTATGCTGCGTATGGTATATCCTTTTTGTTATTAAAAATCTACCATTTTAGAAATCAATCCTTCTAATTAGATTCCTCTGACTTCCTTTCGAGATCGTATGCAAGATTTGAAATATTCTTAGTCACGAAATTGGGAAAATATATATTGGAATAATTGGAACATGACTTACGTTCAAAAATTCGAGAAGGTCGTAATAGCCGACTTCACCTCGGCTATTTTGCAATCTCTTAATGGAAACATCGTGAAAAGGATATACATCCTACAGACCTATTCGAAATAGAGGAACGTACTACTAGGTTTATCGTTCCTTTTTGAATGTAAGATCCGCGAGAAGTCTTGGAAAGTTGGCGAAAACTTTGGTTCTAAGTGGTGGCAGAAGTTATCCTTCCTCGAAAGGAAGAAAGAAGATTAAAGGATTCCTCGAGTAAGATAGGGGGCAGAAATATTTAGCCACTCGAATCCATCTTTGATCTATCCGCTAACTGAAATTTCCCAATCCTTGGAAACGTCCAATTATGTTAAAACATAGTCTGTCTATAACAATTGCGTGTGTGACAATTTTACTCGAGTTAATTTTATTTTTTCATTTGAAAAGTTAAGAAATATATATAAAATTTCTTATTGCAAAAATTAATGTTATTCTTTTATGAAATTTATAAATTGAATTGCTCAAAAACCCGTTGAACCAAAAATCATGATCTTCCTAAATTCGACGAATTTATCGACGAATAAAATAATCGCGAATCTTTTTCAATAAAATCAAAACGAAAGCAAAATTCGTTACGAGATTACATTACAATCGTTATCGAGTAACAACGTTCATCATCCGTTAACAAGAAAATCGCGAAATCGATCTTTTTTTCTTTTTTCTCGAATATCAAAAGAAAAGTAATATTTTCCAATTTTCCCTTCCAACTTCCCATAATGTTCTTCGGCCTCCTTCGTTACCGACGGATAAACGTTGCTTGCGCTAATGAGCACGGCCAATCAGCGTTCGTCTATCAAACAATTCCCATGGAATGTCGATAATGCGATGGGAGCAAAGGCATCGCCAACGAGCAACTACTTTAATTACGGTGAACGTATTGACGTTCGATAAATGTCGGCTTGTTTCTACTCTATTCGTTTAGAGCGACGCGTTTTCCATCGAATTTTGAAGTGAAAAGTGGGATCTGTTTCCTCCAACGTTGAACGAAAGTAGAGGGGACGTAAGTTTGAGGTTAGGATCGATCGATTAAACGGGAATGAGAAGTTGTAACCGGCCTTTTTGATTAACGGTGTACGAACGATGACAGGTTGCCGATTTTACACGAAGAATTCATCGAAGGATGCGTTTCAATTCGATGACGATTCGTTCCATGAATTTTGTACGTGGAAATGAATGGAATGGAAACGATAGAGATTCTTAATAAACACTCGATCTGTACTGGGCCAAAAAGAATATTTTCACAGTTATAGAAGTGCGTACAAAGAGATGTGGTTTGAAATAATTTATCAAGATCAACGATTTCTCGATTATCTTCAATCTACTTTACTTATTCGTTTCAATTCAGATTAGAGGTTTTGACATCGGTAATAGCGGTTACGTTTTTATCTGGGAAAGGATGAGTTTCGATTAAAACGAAACGCGTGATTGCCATGACTACGAATTACGAATTTACATAAAGAAACGCAGTTTATTTGTTATTTATAAAATTTCAAGCAGCTTCTCGACATCCCCTAATATTTTTGACCGGCCTTAACTCGCTTAGAAAGATGGCTTCTATAATTAAAATGGAGACTGTCATATCAAGTTTTAAAATACCACACCTCGCACCGTTGAAGATATTTTTTTACTATCTCCATAAAACTTGAGTTTCATTATTTAGGAAACGTATCTGAACGTGATCAAGAAATGTTGTCTCTCGATGAATAATAATCCATCCTTTTTTTTTTTTTAATTTTCTTCCTCTCTCCAATACGATCGAATAAATAAAAAATCCAGCTTCTTAACGACACGAGCATCGATTGAAAAAGGAACGTTTCTAAATGCAAACGTTTCTCCTATCTTGGAAAACGAGGAAACGATGATACTCGTTAATCGGTTCATCTGCATTCGACCTTACAGTAACAGTAACTGCAGCTTTCACAGACTCTCTCTCTCTCTCTCTCTCTCTCTCTCTCTCTCTCTCTCTCTCTCTCTCTCTCTCTGTTCGCCAAGAGATAATCGCGGATAATCCAGCGAATGGCCGCGATTCGAACAATGATCCGAGCTGCTGTGTCTCCCTGTGGCTTCACAATGCCAACGAAATCGAACGGGGATAAAAGGGGGTCGTCGAGGGGTGAGAAGCTCTTTCGACTGTGTTTTCGTTTTCATCGACCCTGGCCCGGGTTTATCGAGTTATCTTTTGACTGGAAGCCACGCGACTTTTGTACAGAGGTTAAAAGGGTATTGTGGTCGATGAAAAAAAAAAAAATTGATTGTTCCGCCAGAAATATCCTTTTCGAATTCTATTCGATACCTATTCGAAGATTGAAGAATTTCGATCCTCCTCCCTTTTCCCTGAAATCGAGTGTAACACGTAAAAAAAGAGAAAGGGAGGAATCTCGAATTATTACTTATTATTTTAAATTAGCATTAATTGTGAAAATTTGATCGTAAGTAATTTTATTCTATAATAAAAATAATAATTTAAAATAATAATTTTAATTTTAAATAAAGGTTAAGAAGGTATAATTTGATTATTCCATCTGCTCTAAAAGAAAAAAATTGCATCGTACAAATCTTAAGATCAATTTTACATCCAAGCTTTCGAAGCAATGAAAGGAGACCTCTTTAAACTATCTCTCTCTCTCTCGATTGCTCTTTAAACGCAAACAATCGACGGTTAATTATATCGAATTACAAGATAATTATACCGATTGGCCACGGATCGATCGATCATAAATCAACGCCGATTAACTATTGCCGACAACACTATTAAACATTTTTACAAATGCAAAGATTCTCACCATTCTCCACGTAATAGCTCGTCTCGTTGTACCGCTCGTCCGTGAATCCTGGCCTCTTCGCTTTCAACGCTTTCGTCTCTAGCTTCGCCTGGAACGAGAGAAGCGTAATAAGCTTAATTGCTGTAACAGATCACCGATCGATGGAAAGAGAGGAGAAGAAAACGAGGGGAGGAATTTTTCGATCTTTCAAAATTTAATTTTCTAGGTTTTTTTTTTTCACTTCCATGATCGATGATAAACAATGTTAATTCTCCACTCGATTATTTTTCTTCAATTCGAGAATTCGTTCTCGAGAATATATAATCAGATTGAGGAAGGATTTGAGAAAAAAAAAAAAAAGAAAAGAATCCGCAAACGTAAAGTTGAAAAGCGTATTAACCTTCATAAATTCTCCTATCTGGACTGAAAGAAGTTCAAAAAAAAAGAAGAAAGAAGGGGAAGAGAAAGAAAGAGAGAGAGAGAAGGAACAAAAGCAGAGGGGCATAAAAATTGGAACGTCGATCGAGGATAAGGTGGTACAATAATTTGGGGACATTTATCATCCGAGGTTACCAGTTCAGTAGATAGTGACCGATGTGGTCAGCCATAAAGTCCATATTCCACTGGTCTCCGATTTTTAAAACACGAAAAACAAATGGGGGGAAAAAAATGTTGGAATCGAAAAACGTTTTCGTATAAACAGGAAACTTTCCTCGAACTGCCCTATTTTTGCCCTTCTTCTTTTCTCTTTTTAAAAACATTCGCGAGACAATTATATGAACGCACATGAAGCGTATAAATCTCGTGGCAACAAATTAATCTACATACATTGTTATATTTAAAATATAACAATCCTTCACTCGTGACACGACGAAATATTTAACGAAATTAATCCGATAATCCGACGATTATTAATTTTTAATTAAAATAAAAAAAAAAAAAACCAGGATTAGAAGACGAACGCTGGAAAATTCGCGAAAATTTTCAAACGAAGGAAACGAAAAAGGAAGAAGAGAAAGGGGGGGAAAGTCGAAATACCTAACGTTACGCAACATTGCAAACACCGCCGGTTGGTTAACGCCGCGAGGAATGGAGGGATATATGAAAAAACGACATCTCTCTCTCTCTCTCTCTCTCTCTCTCTCTATCCATACCAAAAGCGGGCAAACGAGAAAAGAAAAAAGAAAAAACCGCGACCATTTCCGGCTCCAGAAGCGGACCCAACTGACAAACCTCGGAGCGGAACAACAATCTTCCCTTTGTTTCACGTGGGCCGTGCAAAGCGGCGCGTTTGCTGCGAGCCACCCGGCCGGTTGGCCAGCCTTCAATTATAGCAGCCGTATCTCGCTCGGCCGAAATAAATTTACCCGTTGCCCGACATTAATTCTCCCCTCCACGCGTGCCAATAATTCCTCCGACCCTCCCCCTTTTGCAACACGATTTTTCACGACAACTCCACCATTCTCTGATAACAAACTTATTTATAATCGATGTGTCGTTGAATTGTAATTGTAATTAGCGAATCTTTTGGAAATTTTGTAATCTTTGGATATGGTGGAAGAATTCGATGAATTCAACGGGTGTTGCGTAATTGAGGAGGAGGAGGGGAGACGATACTACACGTGGATAACCGTGAAATATAAATTTTGATTTAAGGAAAAAAGAGGAAAAAAGAAGGAAAGGGGATGGAAACGTGGGGAACGTGTGACAAAGGGTCGCCGGATTGACGTGAATCGTTCGATTGTGAAATATGGTAGTTCTTGTAACATTTTATTTTACCATGGTTCGAATTTATAGTGGCTCTCTTTTCTCTTTTTTTTTTTTAAATTTTAGATTAGAATCGTTATATGGAACATTTATCAATATTGATACAATAAATAAAAATAAAAACGCTCTCTTTTTCGTTCTTCTTCGAGATTTTTTTTTTTTAGATAAAATACGATCGTTTCGAGGAAAAATTCTTAAAATTATTTTTTTATGGAAAAGTTTGTATACTTATTATAAAATTGTTTATAACGCGAGAGAAATTTTATAAAATTTCGCAGAGGTGGGAAAAAAGGATGGATTGAGAGAAAGAAGAGAGAGAAGCAAGACTTATCGTTCGTTTTTGCTCCGTGAATTTCGCGGAACAAGACGAATTAATTCAGAATATTACGTTTCTACAGAATCTATTCTGAGACCATAATCCTCTCAACTTCGTTTAATAAGCATAATTAATTAACGTTTAATCGATATCGATCCAACTCCTCCTCTGCAAAATAACGAATTAAAATTAATGATACCAAGAATTCACGATCTCCTACCATTTTTCAAAAATGTGTATCCAGATACATCCAAGGAATCTACTCAGTATCAGAAATAAGAATAAAACAACTGTAATTAAAATTACAAATCCCCCTTACATCTTTCTAGATCCATTCCAAAACCTCGTCTATTAGAACGAAATAATTGAAATCAAAGATGAAATCCAGCCCAACTACTTTCACTCCAGAATTTCGATATCGAGGAAACTTCTCCGCCGATCGATTAATAAAGAAAGAAAGAAAGAAAGAAAGAAAAAAAAAAATTAATTTCAATTTCGCTTAAAAAAACAAGGCGTCAACGACGCGTTTCATCGAGAAACAAATTGCACTTAACCTAATGCACGATGGCGCCTCTAAAACATCGATTCTATTAAAGTCGTTGATCAGCGGGTGGAGGAGCCATTAGGGGGAAAATCATAGGCCGAGTCTCGTTTTAATATCTGTTAATCAGGAGGGGGAGGGGGATAATTAAAGGCGCGAAACGACGGGTGGATTTTCGACGAACAAACGGGCGCATTACATTAATGGATCCTAATATTCGATCCCCACCTGCGCCGTTACGCCATCCCGCTTCCTTCCACGTACGCAGCAGCATGCATGCATCCACGTCCTCCCCACTCCCCGTCCCGCGCCACGCCACGCCACGTTTTAATTAAGACAATAATTAGCCGAAACATCGACCCGATGTAAATCCGATTAGCAGGGCGCGTAACACGAATTCGCGCACGTGCAAACAATTCCCGTCCCCACCCTTTGGATCGATCCATCGATCGATACCCCCCTCTCCGTCCCTCGAAACCTAATTGAAATTGGCCACCCGTACAAATGTAAATATCTCGACAAGATTTAAAGAGGAGGATAATAAATGGAGAGATATTAAGTCAAATATATAAAGAGTTGTTGGAATCTTATGGAAAGAGATCTTAAGATTTCTTTAATAATTCAAAGGAATTCGAAAAATTCTTCGATCGATAAATAACGATGAAATCGATGGTAAAATTTTTCGACTTTATTATATTGTATATATTTTTGGATGAATATTTTTAAATATTCGAATTTTTTCATCAGCGATGATGACGAAAATGGAGAATTCGCGAAAAATTCGATCGCGAGGGAAGGCGATTTGATTTTAACTTAAACTTGGTGGAAAAGTTGGTGGGCGGAGCACTTCCCAACAACTTCTCCCAATTCTCAAGGCAAATAACACCGGTCCTGCGAATCTTCCCGGCGCGAGCTAAAAGCTCCAATTACCAAAATTGAACTTTGCCCCTAGAACAATTCCCAGCTCATTAACCTCCTCTCATCGACAAATTCTTCCTCGAAATACGCGCAATTCAATGTAAACTCCTCTCCCTCTCTCCTGCCCCCCCCCCTCTCTGAGATCGGTGAAATATTTTTTAATCGAATGGAGGAAGAGGGTCGATTTCGAGGGTTGATCCGATTTTTCAAAATTCGCGCCTGTAACGATGAAACAGTTGTAGGCCAGTTGGCCAACGACAAATTTAATTTAACGAGTCCGAGCGGCCGTGAATTTAAGCGGCGGTTTATTCGATTTCACAGTTTCCACAGAGTTAGAATTCGACGATGGTATAACGCTCAAATCGCAATTAAATATACATTAGCCGAGGGGGGGTGGACGAGGGATGGCGAGTTAATCAGGCTGTAATCACGGGAGAAGCAAAGTGTGGGTGAGAAGGGATTAGAATTTTGATTGGAAATTTTTTAATGGGGAAAAGGTATTAGAGTATTTTGATTGGAAATTTTGAAGGAATTTTTCACGCAAAATGAAAGACATTTGTGCAAAGTATGGAGTCGAAGGATTTATCGTTTCAATTTTCAATTCACGGATTATTATCGAAATATCGAAGTAATTACTCGATTAATTTATCCGATTGTTACGAGTCAAATTTCAAATAATGATTTACACCAATTGCCTATTCAAACATCCTTCCCGCTGTGAATTTATATCTGACGATATTTTTCCCTACCGCGTTACATATATGTAATTAATAAAACGAATCGAAGCCAGAAAAAATAAATCCACTTTCGAACGAGGAAGAAGCGGAAGAAACGATCGTTCAACTACGAAGAATCGAATTGCGTATATAAAATTTCGTACAATAAGTAAAATAATCGCAATATAAAACAATTTTTTTTCGATTAATTAAATCCAAGCCGCGAAACCCGTTCCAAACAAAAACAAAGTTGCCCCGAAACAACATCAAAAGACCGACCTCTTAAACGAGCAACCGCGTTAACTCCGCACCATATTTACCGAATTTACCACTCTCATAAAAAAGAAAGAAAGAAAGAAAGAAAGAAAGAAAGAAGAATAAAAGCAGAAAGAGGGAGGAGGAGGGAAAGAAAGCAACACGTTCGATCGCGCGCTATAAAACGTTCCAAGTTACAGCCGCGAATAAACGCGAGAGAGGCGTAAAAAAGAAGCGAAAGAGTGAGAGAGAGAGGAAAACGAAGAACGATTTATATTTCCATCCGTGCGAATTTTCGCGCGGCTCGGCGCGCTCTGGACTTTTGGCTGTATCGACCGGCCCTCGACCACCAACCGCTTCCCCTCCAGCCGCGCCACCAGTCGCGTCTACAAGTCGACGCGCTCCTTTCCTCTCGACATCGACCTCTCGACGTTCGGGCTCGAGTTTCACACGATGGGAATCGTCCCTTTTTCCTTTCCAGTTTTCTATCCTCTTTTGTTTGGATACGGGATATTCCAGGAGCGATATTTATTTTCTTTGGATAATACACCAATTCCCTTTTCGAGTCTTTTTTATTTATCTTATGGAATTTTTGTTTTTGGAATTTTTATTTTTTTAGAATCTTTTTTCATTCGTCCACTTGTCCGTTGTTTGATTGTATTCGCGGAGTGTACGTCTTGGAATTGTTTGCTCCAAGTCCTTGGAGAAATTATAGTTATATAGGTTTTTTCTTCTCTTTCTTCTCTTTCTCTATTCGAGGTTTAAAGGAGGTGTACTTTTCGCGCGATTTTCATGCGAGAGAGAGATAAGAAACGAAGCTCGAAGAGAGTTCTGTATCCGTAAAATGGTCAAAGTTCGAACGTCCGTGAGGTTTTGGTAAGAGCAACTTTTATTTTCCCTCCTCTTGGGAAATTTGAATATCCCAACGATGAGTTTCGTTTATACAAATTTTGATCGAATTTTTCGAAAAAAATATTCACGCGAAGCCTAATTTTCACGGGGCTCTTCGATGAAGAGGAAACTTTCCAACCATCGAGAAATTGCATTTCTTTCTTCTTGCCGAGAGAGAGAGAGAGAGAGAGAGAGAGAGAGAAAACGAGTCACTCTTCACCCGTCTCAAAGGTTTCTTTTCGAGGCATCGAAATCTTTTGCCCGGCATCCCGCCATTTAGCCGTGTCCTCGAGCATCCTTTCTTCCTTTCAACCGTGAAAGGACAAAGTTTCCCTTCTTAACAAGCTCGAATACCGCGCGGGCATTAATTTATCGAACGTTGCATTAAAAGGATCCCCTCCCCTCTGCTATCTCCCTACGATCCACTTTGATATACTCGTAGCGATTAAATTGATCGATGAGATACGAGGAGAGAATATTAGTCGACGAGTTGGTTGCTTAGATTAGATATCGAGATATTTAAATATCTTTCGATCAAGTTTTTAGAACTTGGAAATTTCGTTTTAAATTTTTCCAAACTTTTATAAATTCGTTCGAAATTATTTCTAATTTTCAAAGACTCGACTTCCAAATATTGAGAGCTTAAATTTTTTTTTAGAATCTTGAAGAAACAACGTTCTTCTTCCTTGTCTAAAAAAAATTAAACCGATCCCCTAAACCAATATTCAAAAATCACGTGCTTTATTTACCCGATCATCGTCACCTTTTCTCGTCGGTTTATCGTACTTTTCCATCGACGACGTCTGGATAGAGTGGACACAGCAACAGGCGGCAACAAGCTGCGCCACGGTTTCACCAACGGCCGTCGTACGTGGTCTCCTCTTCTCTGTTCTTTTTTCGTTCACGTTAACGCGAGGCAAGGCGCATCCTTCGATTCCTTCGCAAACTTTGCCCCCAACCTCTTCTTCTTCTTCTTTTATTCGCCTTTCTGGCCGAACTCCTCCGCCACACTTTCCTCTACACATCTTTCCTTGTTTCCCTCAGGTCCACAAAACTCGTTCCTTTCAAAATTTACCGGACATATTGGAAGAGCATAAACTGTAATGGGATAAAAAAAGTTTCGAAGGGGAAAAAACTCCCCCTGCCCCTCTATCCATCCATGGGAGATTCGAAACGAGAGTTTCGAAGGAAAACTTTTAATCTCCCCAGTCTCTTCTCAGATTTTCGAATTTTTCGAAAATTGCGTTTCCCGAACGAACGAGCGAGCAAAATGTTCGCCTTATAATATATCCAGAGTGGAACGAGTCTCCATTCAACTGTTTATTTCTTCTCAATCCCGCCTATCCATTACGAACTTTATCTTTACAACGAAACGTATTGCAACATGAGGATCCTTGCAGTTAAATATTCACAACTTTGTTTCGATAAATGCAACTGGTTTTTATAGGTTACGTGCGAAGACTAGGTTACTGACGGGTGGCTCCACCTGTCCACCGACTAATTGAAAAAGAAAGAACAATCTCGTCGAAATTAACTCGACGTTGGAAAGTTGGCGCTCGAATCGCAACGGCAATTGCAATACATCGGGAAGGGGAGGGGGGAACGGAACGGATAGGGATCGGTTCGACGGAAGCCGTGTGAATTTATTTCGAATCCGGTGGGACGCGTTTCCACGTGGATTAATGTCGGATTAACAAAGTGTTTCTCTCCCCGGGCGGAGCGGTCTCGGTTAAGACTTTAAGCGCTACCTTGAGCAATTAATTTCGAAGTGGATCTCGGCGAGCTCTGGCAAACTTGGTCCGACATTGAAAAAACAAACAACAGACGGTAAATTATCCACTCGCCGCTCTTTGTGTTTCCTCCGCGCGGAGTAATTGCCGCGTGGAAATTAGCGAAATACCGAAAAGGATAGTTTTTTTTTCTCCTTCTTCTTCTTCTTCTTCTTTTTTCTGCCTCTCAATTTTCGAGAAAGAAAATTCTTCTCGCGTGTTTCCAATCTCTCGATAGTTACTCGATCGATATTTTTGTCAAAGTCGAAATGTACGAAGAACGAACGAATACTTTTTTTATATCGTTTATACATTCAGAGATAGATTAATTTCGTTCTTTGAAAAATTTTTTCCTTTTTTCTTCGTTTCGTAAATTAATGAAACGAGATATAGAATTATCATTATTAAATTAAACTTTTTCAAATTTCATTTTGTTCTTGCGAATGATGACGATAAACGTAAAATATTACCTCATCGAGGGCACGAATTTTTTCGTTTCTGAAAAGTTTGGGGGAACGCGCTGTAATCGAGAGCGCCACTCCTCAAGTCAAACACCTCAAACCTATTCTCTGGAAAACTGTTCTGTTCGAGCACCCTCCGTGCTCGGTCAGCATCGCCGCCACTCGTCCAGAAATTCATTACCTCGATTTAACATTAGAACGCCATTGTGCCGCGCGAGAAACCCGCCTCTCGTTCTTTTACTACCATCGCCAACCAACCACGAACGAATGTGTAAAGAATTATCCAAACATCTTGCCGATTTTTTTCCACGCTTCAAGCTGTTTCCACGGGACGAGATTTCCTCTTCTTCGCAATCTTATCCGTCCAAATGTATTTCACAAAATTCACGTAATTAAAATTAAATAATTCGAAAGGAAATAATTAAAATTAAACAAAAAAGAAATTACAATTCCACGTAGTTATACTCGTACGAAACGAAATAAAAAAAGAGTCTTAATTAGAACGACCTTAATTATGAAGGGTAACAAAAGGGGAGAGAAAAGTTTGATGATTGAAAAAAGAAATAATAGCGACACGCAACTTTGCTTCAAAGCTTCGATCGTTCAATCTTTCTTTAGAAAACTTCTCGAATCCCTTTAAAATATTTATAAAATTTCTCACACACAAATTCTTCGACAATTCTGCTTATACAACTCAAATCTCTATCATACAATAATAACAACGATTAAGAGAGTCGATAAAGAGAAAGAGAATGCTCGAAAAAATCTTCCATAAATTGTCTATATTATTCCTCCACGAAAATTCTTCTTATGCAACTCAAATCTCTACCATCCAATAATAACAACGATTAAGAGAATCGATAAAGGAAAAGAGAATGCTCGAAAAAATTCGAAAAAATTCTCCATAAATTATTTAATATTCCTCTATGAAAATTCTTCTTATACACAATTAGACAACTCAAATCTCTATCATCTAATAATAACAACGATTAAAGTATCGATAAGGAGAAGGAAAAAGATGTACCTCCTCGAAAAAATTCTAAATAATAAATTATCTAATTAATATTCCTCCACGAAAATTCTTCTTATGCAATTCAAATCTCTATCATCCAATAATAACAACGATTAATCGATAAGGAGAAGGAGAAAGAGAAAAAGTTCTCTCGAGCGAGTTTCATCGGATGGAATATCTCGAGGAGGATTTTGCTCGTGGATGGAAACACGATCCTCGTGCTTCAAAAGCGGCGATGGTTCACGGCCGTTTATCTCGTTAATGACGACGACTGGCCGTTGTGGATTAATGAGGACGACGCGGCCCGTCACGGAGCCAGGATGCGCGCTCTCTTCTCGTCGATATTCGACGAGAACAACTCGATGAAATATAGCCCTCCCCTCCCCAGCTGTCCACCGAAATTTCGACGGCTAAGGAGCCGGCATCATCCGCGCTTGAAAATAGAGCTCGAGAGGCCTGCGTTAACCATCCGTTGCATTACTTTTTTTCTTCCCTTTTTATTCCTTTCGTTCCAGAGACCGGTTACGCGATCGAGTGGAAAGGAGTATTTCTGTCCCTCTGTTATCCTCCGTCTGCGTCAGTTTTAGCTATTAACTCGATATTGCGAATATTTGTTTGGTTCATTTGATAGGTCTTTTGGATATTTTGATACGAAATTTGGAAGAGAATTTAAAAATTCTACTAGCCTAAAATTATCTCTTTATATACAAAAATGTGACGAGAAGCTGAAGAAACCTCGAGAGAGGAAGAGAGAGAGTGTCTTTCTCCCTCTCAGTTATAGGATAGTCGAGTAGTTTACCTTTTTCAAGTCCTTGCTTGCGTCGGCTTCCTCCGCCTTCCGCTTCTCGGAGATCTTGGGCGTCGGGACGGCGATCGTCGCCTCCCGCAGGGGCTTCAGATCGACCTGAAAAAGAGCAAAGATCGGTTAACTTTCTTTCTTTATTTTCTTTTATATGCACAAACGATTGCAAACAAATTTTCGATCAATCGTGCGTAATAAAATGTGTTCGAGGATTATTGTATGCTGCATTTACATGAACGCTACGAAAAACTCACACCGACTCCGCTGCATTAAGTACCAAGACTACTCGATATACGAATTTCGAATTCCATTTATGAATCCAAATAAGTTCAATTATACCCTTCCTTTTTCAATTTTATATATATATATGACAATTCTAGTAGCCTAAAATTATCTCTCTCTATATATATAATATATAATTATATATATAATAATAATTATATATATAAACATCGTTTATCAATGGACATCAATTTATATTACATTTTTCTCTTTTTTAAAAAAGACGCACCGAGCTCGTTCGATCCTTCCTTACTCGATATACGAATTTGGAATTCCATTTATGAATCCAAATAAGTTCAATTATACCCTTCCTTTTTCAATTTTATATATATACTTATATTATAATATAAATAAATATTATATATAATATATTAATATATTTATATATATTATATATTTTTTAAAAAAGGCGCATTTATGAATCCAAATAAGTTCGATTATACCCTTCCTTTTTCAATTTTATATATATATATGACAATTCTAGTAGCCTAAAATTATCTCTCTCTATATATATAATATATAATTATATATATAATAATAATTATATATATAAACATCGTTTATCAATGGACATCAATTTATATTACATTTTTTTCTTTTTTAAAAAAGAACCAATCCTCGTTCCTTTGAAACTTGCCCGCTCAATTTCACTCCATTTTCCCCCGAACAGGATAATAAACGGATAACGTAACGATGACAGGACACGTGACGAGGAGTAATCCCGTTAACGCGTCATCGGGCGACATCGGTCGTTTCCGCCGATTTCGAGGCCGAATCGTTCGTGCGACGTCTGTATTTAAGAGGGGAGGGGAGGGGAGTGCGCGCGCGTCCAAAGTAGGGGGACGAGTTGGAGCACGAGATCGGGCATAAATCGATCCTACGCAGCGCCGCGGTTTAAAGGCGCGCTCAATGGGGATCGTGCGTTGCGTCGCATTGAATCGTCGTCGTCGTCGTGGAACGGACGATTCTATCCGCTTGAAAGGGTTTCGCTGTTGCTGGATTACGCGCGTCTCTCTCTCGCGCGGAAATATGGATCTATGGGTTTCGTCGTAGACGTCAGTAGATAAATAAACTAGCTCGAGAGGGTCTCCGGTTTCGAGAGATTAATCATCGATGTAGAAAAAAAATGAATTAACGAAATTATCGTGATTGAAATTGCATGCTAATTGCATGGTAATTGGGCATGCATAATTTCGTGGTGGGGTAATATCAATGTTAATTCTGTCTGAAATATTTGCAGTACATTTGGGAAATGTCTCTATTTTCATTTTGTTCGTAAATTAGTTGACGTTTGTTGTTGGTAATTCAATTCAGTTCGTTCGGTATTCGGTATAACGAAAAGGGATTAATTATGCTTAAAAATTTTCTTACCTTAGGATCAAAAGATTTTGAAATTCAGCAAATTCGTTTATCGATTACATTTCAATTTTGAGAAAATTGGAAAATAATTGCAAACTCACGATCAAATATTAAAAAAATATCTACGAGACAAAATTTAATCTTGATCTTTTTTTTTTAATAGTCTTTAGAATTTTTTAAATTCCATCTCCTCGGGTTACTTAATTTAAGCAATTAAATTAAATCGCGACTTCATCGAGCATTCGTCAAATTGCTTTTAAACGAATCAAATGGTTCACGTGAGATAAATTATCCATCGTTACTTTCGATGCAAAAAATATGTATTAAATAATAATTAATACATTAAAACACTGAACAGTTGTGCATAATAAATACATTAAAAAAAATGTCAGAAATTAATTAACGATTAAACGATCTATTTCCCTATTTCCTATTTTTAAGTTGTAGAAAAATTAAAACTAATGGAACTAATAACCGATATTAAAATAAAATAATTAAAATCCTCGATATTAATTTCCTCGTTATCGCGCTCATATGTTTCTCTATTATAAATAATCGCGAAGGCAAGAAGTTTTGAAATTGAATCCAAACTTTCGCTTTATAAAAAAAAAATTACCCAACTTCGAATTCGAATCCAACACGCGATCCACCCGGAAACGGAGCCGAGGGATTCTCGAGTCAACGTGAAATCACCTTCGATCACCTCGAGATTACAGCTTGCACGCGGACGCGAGAGTAATCGGGATAATCTTCGATAAGGGGGAGGGCGAACAGAGGCGAAGTGGAAACAGAACACAGGGAGAGCATCGGTGCACGGATAATAACAACGGTGAAATCTCGTGATCCGTGTGATCGAGAAATCAAGTTGATTCGATGCAAACACGAGAAAACACGACTCGACTCGTTTCGCCAATAACATCGATCTCGAAAATTATTATCGAAAAATTATATATTTTCGGGTCGATTAAATACGGATTCTTCTCGAAATTCTGTGAAAATTCTTCCTCTTTTTTTACTATTATTTTTTACTTTTATTATTATTTTTTATTATTTTTTTTCTACTTTTATTTTTTTTACATTAATACTACAACATGGAATTGGAATTGTATGATATAAAATAATAATAAAATTGTAAAATGGATAGAAGCATCGTTCCAGATATTCTTCGAATCTTGTGAAATTTTTTATGGAGGTTTCCGGAAGACAGGAATTGATCAGATACTTTCTAACGAGCGGTTATCGAACGTAATTATGGAGATTACCGCCCCCCAATTATTTCAAGTACCAATGCTCTACAAAAGTAAGAAGCAAATACTATTAGGAAAATGCGTGCATTACATTTTACGAAGCTTATAATCGAAGGTAAATAGAATTGTACTACACGTAGGATCATTATCGAGAAGGAACTTTCTAAAATTTCCATGACAATTTGGATCTTTCTTGAGTTGCTCTCAAATCGAAAATAATCGCGATCACCGCTCGTTAAGAAAAATAGGAATAAAATTTTTAAGAGTAAGCTTATAGTCAGGATGATCGATCGATCGAAGGATTCGTTTAAAAGAAAAGATTACCAAGGTGAATTTTTAAACGATTCCCTTTTTAAAATCTCTCGAGGATGAAACAGCTCGAGGAATTATAGGGTAAGCAGCATTAATTCCTTCGTTCTCCCCTTCGTTATTCTTAAAGGATTCGATCTCGTAGTCATCGAATTGTCACATAGGATGACGATATTACTTTTCAAGATTTTTCTCAAGCATTACTATCTTGAAAGAATCTTTTCTCTCTTTTTTTTTTTTTTTTTTTTTTTCATGCAAACAATTAGATCGTTCGATATTCCAGATCTTGGAAGCTCTTGGAAGCTCTTTCTTCCGTCAACCTCAGAGATAATCGAATTCTCAACTATTGTATCGATATGAAGAATGGAAAGAGTGATGAATACACGAAATTTTCGAATCTCGAAATATCATCGACGCGTGAAATCTTCTCTTCAAAAAAGGGAGGTTTAACTATAACAACGAAATTCGCACGCAGCAGTTAAGATATTCCACTCAATTTCGTGAAATCCTGGATCCATTAATCTTGCAATGGAGGGTTAACGCGCCATTAGAACTTAGGAAGCCTAATTACGCCATTCAAGTCGAAAGGGATCGACTCCTCGAGATCGTGAATCTCCAAGGAGCCCGCCTTTGCGATCGTCGATCGGAAATTTCGTGTTTTAACCGAATCACCGTTCGATGGTCGAATTATTATCATCCAACAGAAGACGAGTTTTTA